GTTTATACCCTTTTGGTCACATTGGTGATGAAAGTTGGTGAGAAATGTGAATGTGTATATTGGATTGAATTAGTATTGCGGCGGATACTGCGCCGGAACTGCAACATAGAAACCGAGGTGCCCTGAAAAACGATTCGAAGAGTATAGCGAGGCGAATTATTTTTCTGGCACCGAGGGGTAAAACACTGAGTGGTTGAACATTTTTCCTGAAAATCACATGAAGAATTTCAATATTAATACACTTTTCATATTAATTGATAAAATGAAATCTGAAGAGATGATATTTAAGAATAACCTTTCAATATTCATAATTATCAAATTAGATTATCAAATTAATAAGTCTCCGGAGGACGAGCTGCAATATAGACAGCAAGGCGAATTATTTTTCCGGCACTGAAGGATCAGAATCAAAGCTCGTTATATTAATAGGCTATAACCTATGTTATTAAGTGGACAAAATAACTTATGAGTATTTATTGGGATTTTTCAATATCCCGCCCCATTAGCGGATTACTCGCGGGTTATATACAGTAATAATATTATGTTACCTGAATATCTGCAACTCGGATAGACGGGTATATAGAAGGAGGAGAGAGAGATTAGTGAGAGTATGAATATGAAAATACAGAGAAGATGAATTGCAAGCATATATTATATAATGGTATAAAGAAGTAATCTAGTTTTTTTAGCTTCCAAGTTACGGAATATAAATATAGGTAAACTACAAGGGTCCAATGGTCACTTCTTAGTTCCCGAGTTGCAGATTGATTTTCTGGCGAAGTATGGTCCATATATTATTAATAACCTGCCTTGTGGGGCTTTGTTGCTCGTCCCGGGCCGCTGCCACTACTACTGCCACTGTCAAGGTGAAGAATTCACTCAAAAGGGTGCAGCAAAAGAGATAATTTGAGAAGCTAAGACTGTGTAAACAAGAGTCTAGATTTCTTTATTCAAGTCTTAAGGACCTTCTCTTCTTGTCGGGTTATATTTACAATCCAAAATTTCAAAACTTTTGTAATGTTTGTATACAACAATATTCTCCTATTCTCTTATCTTTTATTCAGAATCGAACTAATTTGATTACTAACAATTTCAAAGTTCTGCAATCATCTTCTATTCGAGACTCTGATACGGAGGGTTGCAGACTGCAACCCTTTGTATCAATTTGCAGCGGATAATTATTGTAAAACGCATAAATCACCCTATATGCAGCAAGGGTTTAGTCAATAAGATCATCACGTGATTAAAGTCATTATAAATTCATGCCTCTCACCACTGCACCATTACTCACCTACCCCTCTTTCCTCACCAGGGTCTATGGGGCCAGAAATGTCTTACAATCTCATTTACCCCTTCTCAAAAGTTTGCTTTTTATGGTTTATACTGCATATGCAACAGCAGTAGAGCCAAAGTCTTACAATACTTACCCCACCGACTCTTTTCACCTATAAATGACCCTGCTTTCAATTCTACTAGGGTTCTTGTGGGGCCAAAGTTATAATCCAATAACTTCTCCTCATCTACAATTACTCGTATCGCCAGAAAAGGTCTTACAATTAATTACCTACCCTCAGTGCTCACCTATAAAAGACCCTGCTTTGATATCTACCAGGGTCTGTGAGGCCACTCTTGCTTATGCCAACCAGGGTTGAGTTATTCAATAACCTTAATCTACATCAACCAGGTTGGCGAAACAAATTTGTCTCATTGTCTTAAACGAGTTTTCTCCTCATTTACCCGTGGCGCTACTACCCCTCATCATTGAAAAACCTTCAATTCTACAGGGTTTGTGAAGCCAAGATGCATGAGGCACAACAAATGAACTTCGTATACCACACATTCATCAAGCAAGCATATCTAAATGCAATATTGTGCACTGACAACACTTCGAAGGTGCAGTAAGTTAGTAAGGTTTTAGTATGTAGATTATCTCGCTTAAGTCAGAATTTCATAATATCACCCTTGTAATAATACTATATCCACCTCTCCCCCCTTCTTTCGATTTCTTTGCTTTTTTGCACAGACCCCTACAGTAGTTTGCTTAAGAGTCGATCATCTTTCCACCCTTTTCATCTTTTCTCTACAAACATCAATTACCTCTTCCTCTTTCCACCTTTTCATCCTTTCTCCACAAACAACTTTTAGTCAAATTAGTTTTGACACTGCACTTCCGATTACTATTCCCCTTTCCACCTTTTCCCAACGCCATTATGACATCACATCCGATCAGGTCTAAAATACCACAAGTAAGTCTTATCATTCAATCGGCATCAGTGCAAACAGACCTGTCTAAACATTATGATCCCTTCTAACTAATTATTTGCAGACTTTAGATCGTATTGACCCATACGATCGCAATGTCTTACCGGTAAGATTTATTTCCTCACACACTGTTTCGATTCTCCTTCCTGTCTGCCAGCCTATTCTGAACACATTTGGTTTCAAGAGAAGTGGAATCACAGTCACCTATCGATTTCGAACTTTTCCCTCTACTACAAGGACAAGCAAGTTCCCATTTGTTCCACTTGACTTCAAACTCATTTCACCTCAAAAACCTACCTACTTTGGCAAGGGGGGAGCTTCTCCTTGTATGGGAATTGTGAGACTTCAGCTATCTTATTGTGTGCAAAAATTCATCTGGTGTGGAAATCAAGCTCTGTAATGGGGCCTGGTTGTGGCTAATCTCCCGATCTGTGTGACCTTTCCTTCGGTCATCGGGTTTGAAGGTACCATGGGATCAACGACTTCTCTTCGCACTGACCGTAAGCTAGAGCGGCGGATTGAGTTCCAGGGCGTTTTTGCTGGATGCTGGGCAGGAAGCATTTTCTTTTCAGTGTGAGATCTTACTCAGCATAGCACATCGCTGACTTGGGGATAAATAGGAGGACCATCGGTTGACTCGAAAAGAGGTTCTTCAGTGGAGAGCTGGTGTACATAAGGACTAGCTTTTGGCCAAACAACAACTAAAGTAAGTCATTTTCTTAATATCTGTCCCCATTAATCAGTACATCACTGACATCATACATACAGTGCTACCGCACAGGTTCCAACTGAGGCATCTCTGCGTCAACAGCTCGAAGTCATGAAGATCCAGCACAATTTCATAATAGCTGCCATTTCTTTAGAGCATGACAGGAGAGATGCGACTGATGATAAGAGAGTTGAGTTGGAGATCAAGACTATGGAGATGAAGGATAGGTTGGAGATCAAGATTATAAAGATGAATGATAGGAGTTGTTGGCTTGCTGCTCAGATCAAGGATAGGAGTTGTCTGCTTGAAGCTGAGACGAAAATCAACGTTATAGATTGCAAGACCAAGTTTATGGATAACAAGTTTCGGCTTGCTATTCGACTTTCCCAAGTTGTTAGTCCTCACTCCCTAATCGCTCACTCCGCATGCTATCAGAAGCTAACCAGTTATTTAGATCCTTGGAATTCTTGTTGCTGTTTGTATCATCGCAATGTTCTATATAGGCCATTACTACATCGCCATTGGGTTTTTGATTCCTGTTCCCCTTTGGATGTGTTGGTTTTTGTTTGAAAGACGGCACTTCCCTCCTGGTGTATCGATATGATTACTACTTGCTGGCAACTGGGAAGATCAGAATGTTTTCAAATTCATTTTAACGATAGATAATTTATTTGACTTTTGTATCTGTTGCAAAATGTTTTCCTTGTGATGTCCGTCTAACGTAACTTGTGACTTGAGATACATATAATGACAAAAGATAGTTCTTGCAAGGTCGAGTCATATAGAATGTTTTATAGTGAAGATATTAAACATATCGGTCGTGGCTGAATGTGTATAAAAGTTGTATGATTTCTCTTCTGTTTGTATAGGATAGATATTATCTTAGAGTTTTGATATGTATACACCCACTGTCACTATTGTATATACATACTAACCTAAACAGTAGCGAGATAGATCAAAGCTTAGATCATCTCAATAAAAGCCGATTAATTATAAGTTGCCAGCAACCCTGTTTCAATACACTTTATTTAACCTGCCAACGAAAACCATCCGGTGGATCTCAAAAAGTATCAACTTGACGTAAAAAGAGATTACCTTTGAAACCCACGATATTTCTTGGTTTCACGAACATGCTTCATACATAACTTTAGTCACCACTCACTCTCCTGGATCAGACTAATACCTAGATCCTACCTACTTCCCGCTGCTTCAGCTAGATATTTGTTGTAGAATCAAAAAGTATAAAGAGTAGGGATTATATAAAGGGGAAAGGAAAACGCGCGAAAAGTTTCCACCTTCGAGAAAGGTCAACATGATAGCGAACCAATCCAAGATGAAATCGCCTCTAAGGTTCCTCTTCCCTGCGACCCAATTCAGGACGAGCCGATTACTTTGAAGGAAGAAAAGATATCATAATGCTTCATTTTCGCGCAGCTGCCGTAGCTCTTGCGGCGCCACCCGTACCAGTCGGTATGATCGGCGGTGCCCTGCCATATCCAGGTATCGGTGATGTTAATTCTGAACAGGAATCCACAGGGCCGTCCATGGAAAGTAACAACTTCCGAACCAGTTTCCACTGTTCCTGTGTGCAGAATCTTGGTACCTTCAATGTATTATTCGCAGCAGCAAATGGAGTGGCACCTGTCCGCCGTTCATGGAACCATCTTCCTGCCATTCCAGCCTCTGACTGATGGAAAGTAGTTCTTCAACTGTAAGTGCTGTCTGGATGCCTTATACCGAACTGTTCCAGCTCTCTATCTCCCCTCTTGCCTTTAGATATTTAAATTGACCATTCGGAAAGAGACTATTTGCTCGATCACCATCTCGTTTTTCTGCCTCGGCGATAAGTATCATCCCAGTCTGACCTAGTATCGCGATGCGTATTGCCTTCCAGTGTCGTTGTAGTTGGGGGAGGAGGAACGTTGGAGGGTTACTTTTTCCCAGCGGAGGAAGCCAGCTTTGCGGGCGAGATATAATGCTTTTATCAATACCATGTTCGTACCCGTCGACGAGTAACGATATATTACCAAAGTAGGCGATGAGACTTTCTGACTTTGTCAATCATCACCTCTAGACGGCCGCGCGCATTCAATTCTTTTTTGGGTGCTTGTTCACAATTTAGGAATAACAAGTGTATCGTCTATTACTTTACCAGATATTCAAATATCAAATCAGGCCACAGTCATCTTCTGAGTTGTACTCCAAAATTAGTGAATCATCTGTGATATACTTGAATAATTTCGGTTTATTCGATGATCTCGCATCCGGATAGTTGTGTGATGTTTGTGTAGGGCCTGATCCTACCTGAGGGGAAGATGAATGGTTCGTGTTGCGACGAGACGTATATTTTAGTTGGGCTTGGGATTTGCTCTAGAACTCATTGTATTAGTAATATATATTATTTCATATATGATACTATATATAATACCTGTTTTTGAATAGAAACTTTTGGGTTTGGGTTGGGATATTTAGGTAGATCAGTATCGCTGGCATCCTCTGAGCTATCTAGGTCATTATTCTCTTCGAAGTTAGAGTCATCATTGCTATCGCTATTCAATTCTTCGCTCTTATTGTTGTTATGGATCTCTGTATATATAGAAGTTTTTTGGCATCGACACAGAGGATCTGAGATAGACAAGTTTGCAACCGTAGATTGGCGCTTTCGTGCGTTTTTGTTATCACTCATTTGGTCTATAACAATATAAACGAAGGAATTATAATAGTAATGAATTATAATGGAAATGAATCTTCAAAAGAGGGAAATTTTTTTGGATAATCGTGGTTGTGGTTGTGATTATGATTGTGGTTGTGATTGTGGTTGTGATCGTGATCGTGGTCGTGGTCGTGGTCGCAGCGCGAATAATAAAAATAAATGGTCACGTGCAATATAATTACCCCGCGTTTTAGAGGTCCTATTTTAGGTATAGGTGTTAATAGTTGCCACCAGGTATCAGTAGGTGAACGAATAGCCCCGGCGTGCCGGGGAATAGACGGCGGTAGGTATAGGTAGGTATTGGTGTAGGTATTGGTGTAGGTGTAGGTGAGATAGGTAGGTGAGATAGGTATAGGGTCGAAGCTGCAAGCCAAAACCCTTAATACTAAGACTCTAAATTGTTTTATTCTAATATACAAATATCCTCCTATATTCCAAATACCCCAAACTATACCTGTATCCCGTTTCATTTCCATCAATCAGTTCATATGACCGACTAACAATGCAAGCTGTGATCCTTGGTCAATTTGGTTAATTTGGTCAATTTTATTTGGTTAATTTGGTTAATTTGGTCAATTTTCACAATCAATCATATTAACCCAAATATACACTATTCTCATTTCAGATTTATATTTGTTGGAAGTGTAACTGTGTATTATATTGTATATACTCTACATTACAGTTGTAATGATAAGCTAGCTAGTGTATACACTAAGGCTAGCGTCAGTACTAGCCGAGGGCACAATGCTAGGGTACCAGCACGTGGTACAGGGTACAGTAGTATGCGTTCTAACAACAATATATAATATATAGTTACACTTTCAACAGGTTATAAGCTCTGTGTAGATGTATATATGGTGCAACTTGCTTATTACTGATTATTTCATTAAATTCCATTAAAAGAATCTCTTGAATAATGGCACCCTCTACTTCCACCACTCAGCCAACTATAGTTTCAACAAAATGGGGTAATATTGTTGTTTTTATAGATAACAACTGGAACGAATTCAAGGAATCTTGCTTACTTGCACTTGCAGTAGCTAAGGCTATTGATATAGTTAAGAACATTGAAGGATCACCAGATCCTTTTGATAATGATTTCATTGAAGCATTACTCGGAGATTACAAGAGAAGAAGAGGTTACGCAATCGCTATACTCAATGCTGGAGTCAGTACAATCTACCACTCTAGCTTTATCGAACATATAAACAATCTCGATATCGCCAGCATGTGGATAGCTCTCGAAAAACATGATAATAGTGCTCACCCCCAGTTCGTTGCTGAAGTACATTGTCAATTTCAATTCGAAATCTTCGATCCTAAGACCCAAACTCTTTGAAACTTTGTTGAACATCTCTTTCATTATCAATGCCAGATCTCTTCGAGCAAGCGACCAATCAGTAACGAAGAGGTGTATTCTCAACTTATGAATAAGATCCCTGAAACCGAAGAATGGTAGGTAGCTAAGATGTTCGTACTCAACGCTGATCAAACTCTCAAACAAGCCCTTTTGACTTTCAGCGCTTGTGAGAAATTAGTCACTGCTATTGCTGTGTACGCGAATACCAGGGGAAAAGGACGAGGTTGTGGAGGACGAGGTCGTGGAGGACGAGGTCGTGGTTATAATAGTAGTGATAGGGGAGGTAGTAGTAATCACAGAGATTACACTATAGGTACTGGTGGAATTGGTAAAGATCAGTGTCGCTTCTGTTATAAGAATAATCATCATCAAAAGGATTGCCGAGCCTATGCTAAAGCAATAGCACTTGCTAGAGGCAAAAAGGGCAAGAAGGAAAAAGACGATAATGATGATGAGACTGAAGCTTGTGTAGTTGAAGCAGAACAATACAACGATACTGTCTATTCAGGATCTGTAATGTATGTGACAGACTCAAACAAGGATTAAATACTTGATTCAGGAGCTATTCAATATTTTACTGGTCAACTAAGTAATCTTGAATATATTCAATACTGGACTACTCCAAGGAACATCAAAATCGCAAACAATACTTATGTTAAAAGTACTACTTTTGGGAATACTAAGATCGGCAATTTTAAGCTTTTGGATGTATGGTATATATCAGTATTTGGTACTATACAACTAGTATCTGTCAAGCTTTTTATTGCAAACAAAAACAAGATTATATTCGAAGGTAATACAGTCTCTTGCTGGAAATTTGGCCAGTTTCAATTCATTGCAAAACTCGTGTTTAGAACCTATATTATCAACCAATCGTTTGAAATCGATATAGGATATCTTACTCTTCAAGATAATGAAGAAGGGGATCTGGAAGAATCGAATGCAGAGCTAGCACATAAACGACTTGGTCATCTCAATTATGATCAGATGGAGAAACTAAAGAGAAGATCTGTTGGGTTGAAATTCGCAAAGAGAACAAAGACGAAAGGCTGGAGAGTCTGTGAACTATATCTTGCTGGACGAATGAGGGAACACTTTAATAAAAAGATAGCTATACGAATATATAGGAAAATTCGACGATTACATTGTAATCTCTTAGGGATCCTAGTATCTTTTGCAAACAGTAACAAGTATTTTCTTTTAGCAACGGACAATGCTACTAGAGTCGATTGGATACGATATACAAAGGACAAAACAGTTGTAACGGTGGTACTGATACTGATGGAAATTATCAAAAATATTGAAAAGGAAACAGGAGAGAAAGTGACAATCATTTGTGCAGATAATGGAAGAAGCGAATTCGGCATTGTCTTTCAGAATGAACTCAAGAAACTCGGGTTTCAATTTGAATCCTTTCCTCTAGGAAAGCATTCAATGAATAGAGTTGCTGAGAAACACATTCAAGATATCAGTGCTAGATCCAGGAGTTTACTTAATCAAGTAGGTATGCCAGAAGATTAATGGGAATTTACAACTTATTATACCATCTGGCTTCACAACAGAGCATTTACGAAAGCTTTACTATTCGGAGAATCAGGACCTCTTTTTACAGTTATCATTCCATTTGAAATGTATTACAGTAAACTACCTGATTTCATTAATCTACAAATATTCGGCTGCAGAACATTTGTTTTCAACTCTCAATTCCCAGGAAATTAATAAAGAAATTCGAATCAAGGATTCTAAAAGGAGATTACATATTTGTTGGTATGGATAATCATTATATTTATCTCCTATTCAATCTCATTTCCAAGAAAATAATTAGAACTGTAGATGCTGATTTCAATGAATACAGTTTCTTATTCAAAGAAACATCAAACGAACTAAACTCTGGTATAGATAAAAAAGCTTCGAAAGCAAAAAGAGGTCTACTGTCTGTAGTAGTAAGATCTCAACAAAAGAGGAGAAGAGTATCTTAAGCTTTACCTTCGGTATAAGAGGATATTCCATAAGTAAATGCCAATGTTGTCAAAGGACTATTGAATATTGCCTGCAAATGCTGTTTAAGAAAGATTTTCAGTGATTAAGTTGTATAAGAAATAAAAGCTTTGAAAGTTGTTACTATCGATATTGAAAACTCTATTCTAGCAAATAGTCCAGGAATGCCTTTTGAAGCAACAAAACTAGAAAAGGCTATGTGTGAGGATCGTAAGCAATAGCTAAAAGCTATTAAGTCAGAATTGATTAGTCTTCGGGAGAATGGTATATTTCAAATTATATAAGGGAATATTCCAAAAGGCAAAACATTGATGACTTTTAAATGAGTATTACGAAACAAAATGAATCAGTTCAATTAAATAGCTAGAAAGAAAGCTAGACTTGTTATCAAAGGCTATCTACAATGTGCTGGTATTGATTTCAAAGAGACGTTTGCCAGAGTTGGCAGATACTCTATATTAAGAACTTTATTGGCTAAAGTTGTAGTAGAGGATTTAGAGATTGATAATATAAATGTTGATATTACGTTTTTCAATGAGAAACTAACAGATACAAAAATACTAATAGAAATTCCACAGTTTTTTGAAGAGGTATTCCCAGAAATTAAGGAGATGCTACTAAAATCCTTACAAAGAACTAAGGTTTTCTTGAAGCTTAAAAAGTCATTCTATGGCCTTAAGCAAGTATCAAGAATTTGGTAGCTGGCAATCAAGAAATTTCTGAAAAATATAGGACTCATAGCTTCTTCTGCAGACCCAAATCTGTTTATTAGAAACGGAGTACACATTCTTTTCTATATGGATAATCTACTAGTTATTGGAAACCGAACAAATGTCGATAAAATCAAAACGAAAATCAGTGCAAAGTGGAAATGCAAGGATTTAGGCCTTACCCGAATGTTTCTAGGTCTTCAAATCGAATGCAATAGGCCTAAGAGAACTATAAAGATTCACAACTCAAACTATACGAAAAGAATCCTTCAGCGTTTTTATATCGATGAATCAATGGCCAAAGATCTATCACTTTCACCTGGTACAACTCTTTATACTGTAGAAGAAACAACTCTACTCGGGGAGGACGACAAGAATCTATATTTACAAATTATAGGCTCAGTTATTTATTTGGCAAACTACTCTCAACCTAATATCTCTTTCGTTATTAAACAACTAGCGAAAGTTATACAGTCTCCAGGGAAGCAGTATTTGATATATATTAAATATTTTTTACAATATCTTGTAGAAATAGCAAATACTAGATTAATTTATTCAGGACGATTACGTCAGCCTCCTTCAGAATATAATATATTCATTGACTCTATTTGGGGTTCTGAGCAACGAACTAAGTCAACTCAAGGAGTAGTTATCATAAGATATGGAGGAGCAGTGGTCTGGTTGTTAACAAAGCAGAAATCGACTTTACAGAGTATAATGGAGGCCGAAATTATCATTACAAACGAGAGAGCTAAGGATTTAGCTTAGATAGAAAAGCTGGTATATGATCTAGGAGAAAGATCCTGGGAGGAATCATTTATTTCTACTTTATATTGCGATAATAAGAGTGGAGTTGATTGGATCAAGGAGAACAAATTTCATAGCAAAGTAAAGCATATAAATATCAGATGGCATTATATCAGGGATGATATGGTCGATACAAACAGGATTAGGGTTTTGTAGATTGTAGGCATTAATTAAACAGCTGATATTCTAACAAAACAGTTTATATACTTTAGGTTTTGTATATATTATATTGGTTTAGGATTTGATATTGATACAAAATAAAAGGAGTACTCTTATACTATAGTATGGTATTAGACTATAAGATACTGAACTTCCACAGGGAGATTAGGTATTATAACTATAGCCAAAGGCTAGCGTGTTGTTACAGGAGTTAACGAGGCTCTAGGGTTCTGATAATCAAGGTTTTTGATCATAGGGGGGATGTTAGAATGTATACTACTGTACCCTGTATCACGTGTTGGTACCCTAGTATTGTGCCCTCGGCTAGTACTGACGCTAGCCTTAGTGTATACACTAGCTAGCTTATCATTACAACTGTAATGTAGAGTATATACAATATATAATATACAGTTACACTTCCAACAAATATACATAACATCAAAGGACACAATTTTAATCGACGGGTAAACTTACCAACCATGCAATCATGGGATCGATCGTGGTATATACATAGCAGTTGTATATTCACAATAGAACGATTCAAAACTGCAACCTGAGGGGTTTTTAGATTGTCGAGAAGTACAAGATGAGATAGTACACTAATGGCGAGAGTATCTTGGAAAACGACCAATCTCGTCACATCACAACTTTTCACCATTCAATTCATCCATCTACCCAAATATTTAATTAGTAGCTCCTCTCAAAGCCATAGCTCCCAACACCATAACCTCGAGCTCTTTCTCTTTCTCTTTCCTATCATCCGCTACCTTTTCACTGCTCACACCATTCATCCCTCCTTTCTTCCCACCACCCCCACCACCACCAGAATTCAACTTATAAAGTTTTTTCACCCTCGCCACATCAGTTATACTTCTCAACACCTCATCTTCAAAGGCCACGGCTTCTCCTTCAATCACCGATGTGAGATGTGCGGAGATTTGTGCTGCGGAAGATGCGGGAGCGACTTTTACGATTAGGAGAGAGGTGGTGGTGGGGGTAATACCAAAACGACGGAAGGATTCTGCGATCTTGGGGGGTATGTTAGGGGGGGTTTATTTTTATTGATCGCGATGGAAATGAAATGAAATGAAATAAAAATTTGCATTAAACATCATTTGACAAATACATGTGACCATTTTGTATATCAAGAATAAATGAGAATAAATAGGGGAAGAGAAGAAAAGATGAGATGACATACATTGTTATTCATACTCAACGAAAAAACAATTTCCGAATGAATATTCCGACTCTTCAATCGATTTTCCAACGCATCATTAATCGCCCTATACGCTGCCGCCAAAACATGTAATCTGGAAAGAATCTGTGTGTATTAATCAAATCAGTCACGTGATACACCAAATAACGAACATAATTTAATTAAAAACATCAGATAGTGGGGCAGAGGGGTAATTCGCGATGAAAGAAGAAGAAGAAAATGAAAATGAACATGGAAATGACGTACAACACTAGCATCAATAAATGCATATTCGAAATCCGTATTCCCGCCAAGAAGTTGCTGGTGTAAAAAGGATGCGTTGCGGATATTGCGGTAGAGAGCAATGTGTAGAGTGTGAGTTTCAGGGAGATGTTCTAGGGGGATGGTTTGGAGGAGTGCCATGGTTGGTTTGTTTGGAGAGGGATGACGATGTTGTCGTGATTGTGTACTGTATGTATTGTGTAGCTAGTGGTGAAAATCCCGATGCGGCGGAGTAGATGCTGGTCGATTTGGTCTGGATGGATGGATGGTTCTAGCCGCTCATATAAGGAACGTTGCCGGTTGGCGCAAAGTTTTGGCGTGGATGCTGAGTCACCTAGGAACAGGATTTTGCGTTATCGATATCGCAGATGAAGTTGTCTGGGTGTACCCGGTGAACCGGTTGTATATAATGATTTTGTGTGGATTATATAAACGGCTGGGAAGGTTACGGGATTATGTGAATATTTTCGAGAACTAGTTTACTACGTTTTGGGTCCGGGGTTGTTTGGTCGTTTGGTCGTTGCAGATGATTGGACGGATTGGTTGAGGTACAGTACGGTACTCAAGTACTGAGGTCTATTTTTAGTAATCTGGGGAAATACTCCTTTTTCCCCTTTTAGATAATTTCCACAGATTACAGCTTCTGAGTTAATTAGTGCGACGGGTAAATGAATGTTATCTAAATTGACGAATCGGGAATTATTTGTTTATTCACAATGGAAAACATCTGAATGAATTTCTTTTTACAGTCACTGTAGCTCCAAAGGTTATTCTGAGGTTGTACTCGCTAAACATGGGAAATCCCCATACACAATACAAGACCAACCCCCGGCGACCTCGTAAATCCCGAAATATATACTGGAGTAAAGAAAACTCAAAAACAGCCAAGATCTTCCTTTGTATAACAACGAGATTAAACCTCTGGAATGACTTGGCATCTTGGCATCTACTATTTGGAGTACCAATTAGACAAAGAAAAAGCCACGTGTAAGCCATGTTTGAATTCTGGCCCTATGGAACGTTGGTAGTGTCATTGGATTCTCAGCTGGGATATTCCCGTGAAATGGTTATTGGTTGATGTTCAAGGGATTGCATATGGGTCTGTGTAACTTGTAGCTGTTGTGTCTCATCCCCCGAGTTCTTATCCATGGTTATGGTTATGGTTATGGTTATGGGATAGAGCAGAGTATCCAGGGCCAGGACCAGGACCAGGAAAAGTAATGCTGGTATCAAAATGTTCAGGCTTAATGCATGGATTTATACATACGGTAATTTGTATCCTGGAGAGGAAGACACATTTGGCATTCCCCGGCTCCTGATACGTTGGGAATCATAATATGACGAGGATGCAATGATCCGTGGAGATTCGTTTTTTTTCTCTCTCTTGCAAGGGGGATCAAGCAGGAAAGGAAGGACATGCTCATCTAGTCTAGAACTGATGAACGGTTGGTAAGACCAGATTGGAGAATGAGAATGAGAATGAGGTCCAGGCAGTGATAGAATCTCAAGAGGCGTTCTCGAACAATTCGGAACAATTCTCAATATCCAATAGGAACTGATTTCTGAATGTATATAGAGAGAGTAATAGAAAGGGGCTTGAAAGATAAATACAGATGAAAACACCAAGAATGAAGAGAAAAAGACTAAATAGCTTCGATGAAGTATAGAGAAGCTTTTGGTTGTTCCTTTCAATCTTTAAAGCTTACCTAGTATATCATTTTCTTTATTCTCGAAATAGAAATATTATATCTACATTTATACAAAGTCACAACAATAATTAGCTCTATCTTTAACAATTAATCTAACCTTTCTTCTAATGATATATTTAACATATTCCCCCGAATTAGTTTCTTGAATTCTTATATGAATTCATGATATACTATTAGGTTATCTTGGTTCATTCATGTTCCTCTCCTCTTCTCTCCTCATAACCTTTCATTTATGAAGCTTCTTCTTCTTCTTCTTCTGGTTCTCATCTATTAAGTTTATGTGTGTGTGTTATTCTGGTCTTTAAGGAGTACCGTAATCAATCTTCATTGGGCTAGCGTCCTCCGAATCCTCAGCAAACAGACACAATCAGTTTCAATTGGCTCCTCTCACAATGATATTTCATAGTGGCCTCGGTGTTCAACTGCCTCAATACAATTCACCTACTCAATTTGATCATCAAGAGCGACTTAATCGACAATTTGATTTATTGAATCCATATACAAATACTTCATATCAATTTCATGGATCTTTAGAATCGAATAATAAAGTGTTGGAGGAGGACAATAATACTCAAACTCAGAACCGACGGATTGGGTATCCAACGGCTTCTTCCATATCAGTACATAATACGGCTTTTTCCGGCGCATTAATTGCGACGATGCCTCAAAAGCGAAATGCTTCCGGTGAACCAAATGGTTCAAATGGTCCTCCTGTTGCGAAGCAGATCAAGTCAGAACAACATCCAGAAGAATTCTCAAATACCGTGAAGAAGAAGTTGCAAGCTTCGACGAGGACGGGTCAAGCTTGCGACCGTTGTAAGGTTAGTTTGTTCAGTGATGATTATGGGGAATTGAATGAATGAATGTATTGTCATCGACGTTACGCGCTTTCTATATTGTGCAAATTTGACTAACGATGATAAAAATTGTATGTAGGTCCGTAAGATACGATGCGATGGATTACCAGGTGGTTGTTCGCCATGTTTACAAAATAATACGGAATGTAAAACGACGGATCGAATAACTGGTCGTGCTACATCGCGGGGTTATGTTGAGGGAATCGAACAACAAAATCGAGATTTGCAACATCGAATTCAAGAATTGGAACATCGATTGATGCAGAGTGGCGCTGATGTTAAACCTATCAATGGATATTCTGATCCAGGAGCTGAACAATATGGATATGGTCAAGCTACAAATGGAATGCAACCAGTATGGAGTTCGGCAGGTCCAGCATATTCTTCACCCACTTCAACCACGGCGATCAATGGTCAAGAGACCAATATGTTTCGCGCTTTACCTGCCTATCGAGCTGGATGTATGGGCGATAATTACCTCGGAGTATCACCTGGAAGCTCTCATTTAAGCGCAATCAAAGGTACCGCCTTGTCTATTCTAGGTATGGAGATTGATATTGCGGATTTTCGTTCCACGGATATGGATGAGCCGGACTCTTCGGTTTTTCATCCTCAACTTTACAATAAATCATACCAGTCTTTTCTCCAATCGGCGTGGAACGTGAATCCAAGAATTGAAAAGGTCGATTTGCCATCACGTTCAGACGGTATCACGTATGCACAATGGTATTTTCGTGTCATCAACCCATACTGTCCACTACTCCATCGAGGAACTTTCATGAGATTGGTATGTGTGCCCTCCACCAGATATTTTTTCTAACTAACAATATAGTTAATTCGCATGTACGATGATCCCACCTTTCGCCCCACAACCGCCGAGAACGTCACTGTTCATATGCTCTTCGCAATCATGTTCTTCCAGTACGCAACTAGAAATTGGGAAGATGCGGAACAACAAGCCAATCTAAACTCACAATCAAATATGCACTACCACTACTGTCTTGGCATGTTCTATCAGCTAGCCGGCAGTCACACGGTACACGATGTTCAAGCTCTGGCTCTCATCTGCATGCATCTTCGAAACTTTCCTAAGCCGGGAGCGAGTTGGGTGCTTGCACGAATGGCAATGACCCTTGCCATTGAACTTGGTCTCCATCGATCAATTAAGAGATGGGCACCCGATTCCAACACGCTCACCGAACTCGACATCGAAATGCGTAGACGAACATTTTGGGTCATCCTTGCTGTTACTGTTACTCTTAGCGGAAAGCTGGGTCGTCCAATGCCTCTTCGGAATGAAGATTATGATGTCGAATTTCCATCGCCCATTGACGATGACTACGTTCCTGGTGAAGGTGTTGAGTCACCTCATCCCATTAAATGTAACCATGAGATTGGAATCCAGGCTTTCAAGATCATACCATGTTATCTGGAACTTTATTCAACCATTTATTCAATTTCTCGTCGACCGGATACCTACATTGCAACTGTCAACAGATTGGAAGCCAAGATCCGTGCTTGGAAGGAAGATTTGCCTTCGGAACTTGTAAATGGAGAGTTGGGACATAACGAACAAGAAGGGCGAGTATTCGCTCTTTATGCTCAATCTTGGTCTCAAGAATTCCGTCTTCTTCTTCGCCATCCATCAGTATCTATGACCCCAGACCCTGATTTCAATGCCGAGAGCATGAGAATCTGCGTAGAGTCTTCTCGTCAGATGCTGGGAGTTGTTCGCCAATTGCAGAAGTATAAGAGTCTGGATACGACTTGGTACAATACCTCGGTTTATGTTATGGCACTTACAACCACACTTTTTGCTCAATGGGAGAAACGTGGCGGGACATCGACGGCTGACTTGGCTGCGTTAAGAGAGGAAATGGATATATGGTTGGAGATTATGGGGGATATAGGCTCGCTGCTTGGTACGTACCATATCCTTGATCCAAACCAACTTTATTAATTGACTTAGGTTCGGGAACACGACTTCGAGAAGCGGTTCGAGTTGTTACGGATGGGACACTGGGTTTGCTAAGCCGAAATTTACTGGTCAAGAATGATAAAAGCTACGGTTCAAACAATGCTCAGGAAGAGGTTAGACCTTCAGAGCAAAATGCAAATGCCAACACGAATACGAATAATGGCTACTCAATAACTACTCAGAACTACAATTACAATGAAGCTCCCTCTGGTAGTGGAATCGCACCTACAGCTAACTACCCGCCCTCCGAAGGCCAAATGTCCCACCAACAAACACCCTATCCAGCAGCAACCCAATATTCGCCATACCTTGAAGCCGCTTCAAATACTTCGGATTTGACGTATGCTCAAGCAGAGAATCAAACTTATGCACCTTATCCAACTCCAACTACCGATTCCGTCGAAGCACCGTTAATTGCTGCATTGGCTGCCCAAGCATCTCAGGTCGCCCCCAATACATGGCACAGGAATTCAATTCAAGTCAATACAGCACCCACACAAGCATGGCAACATTGGACTTCTACCATCACAGGCAACCTCGAGCCGCAAGAATGTTATTCGGCAAGTGCTTTGATGCAACTAGGGGGAAGAGATATGAGCAATGGTGATACGACACAACCAAATACATCCATGAGTGAAGTTCAAAATGGAGTCGTTGGTGAACAAGGACATTTGGGTGGACAAGTTTCGGGCGCAATTGTTGGTGCTACATGGCCTCTTAATCTTTTTGATATTGGACCAAATGGTACGACTGGCTGATTTTGATGAATTTTCTTTTTCTAATCTATTGCGAATCTTTGTGGATATGGTGATGGCGTACTGGCGTACTTCGGGAAGAAAAGCATAGTGCAATGGTTGTTATTCCTGGAGTTTTAGGGATTTTTTTATGAAATGGGTACTGTAGAGTATTAGTATTGGTGGTTCATTTTGGATCGGCTTTCGGACCTGGGTGGTTCTTGTATGATATGATGAGAGAGAAGGGTGAGGGGAAAAAAGGGAGGGGAAAAAAGGGAGGGGAAGAAAGGGAGGGGAGAAGAGGGAGGGGGAAAGAGGGAGGTGAAAGCGAGAGGGGCTCGATCACTAGCAAATAATGATACATTTCGTGTGATTTGTTCTGGAGTATCTTTTGTATTTGTGATGAATTGAATTGGTTGATTGTTTGGATTGTAAGAGGATAGTATATACAGTAACAGTATCATTGTATTGATAACCAATAAATTAGTTTGCTTGAAGCAGGATATTGATACGATATGTGTGATATATCTCCCCAAGTATACATAAGACTTTACATGAATATAAGATTGAAGTGAAGTCTAGAAAGGGTAGCCTTGCATCAAAGGTTGTGTTGAGATAACTGGTAATAATAGGATCACGCTAAGAATTCATGCACAAAGTGGGTATTTCCTTCCGTTGACGGGTCAACCATGTTTTTCTCCAATTAATGTCTCAAAGTTTCTTGAACAACGCAAACAACTTCATTTGTACTTCCGTATGGGCAATAAACTCGACCAATACAGTACTACAAATTCATTCCTTCCATTTTGTTACTATTGTGATATTTCCATTCAATTAATTTTTACTTTAATTCTGTTCTTATTATTCAAGTCAAACTTGTACAGCGGCGGTATTCACTCTTTGGCGGTCGCGATCTGTTTACTTTGTATTCAGCTGGACAACAAGCAACGATACTTCTTAGAAGAACACGATTGATACCGATACTATGGCGTCAGGCGCGTCGTCAATCTCGGTCACTGGTATGGGAATATATGATATCAGTTTGGGGCCCATTTGCTGATCATTGGCAGTTCGTGTTCGACCTTTTACTATTCAAGAAGCCGCGCAAATGTTCGTACTTACCGCTCAACCCTCACCGGCCAGTGGCATCATACCCCGAACGACTACTTACATTATATAGCACAAAAACTGATGATGGCATATCGTTTCTGGGAGAGGGTTCATTGGCAGGTGCCCCTACTCCGAGGCTTGGGGGAAAAGGGATTCATCCTGTCATAAAAGTGATTGATGATAGGTGCCTGTAAGTATTGCGGAACGACTGACACTGTCAAATCTAACAATGGCAGTGTATTCGATCCTCCACAAGACAATCCTATTACTAGATTCCAAACAAAAGTAGTATCGAATATGGGCAAAAGAGTGAAGGATCAAACATTCGCATTCGACCGAGTCTTCGATGATAATACAACACAAGGAGATGTCTACGAATCAACAACTAGAGGGCTTTTGGATAATGTACTCGATGGTTATAATGCTACAGTCTTCGCATACGGTGCCACCGGTTGTGGTAAAACTCATACGATTACAGGAACGGCTCAACAACCGGGAATTATCTTCTTAACTATGCAGGAACTTTTCGAGAAGATTAACGAGAGATCGGAAGAAAAGCAAACGGAAGTTACATTATCTTATCTGGAAATTTACAACGAGACAATTCGAGATCTTCTGGTTCCGGGGGGAAGTAAAGGGGGTTTGATGTTGAGAGAGGATGCAAATCAAGCGGTATCAGTCGCAGGATTATCGTGCCACAAACCACAAGATGTTCAGGAGGTTATGGATATGATCGTCAAAGGAAATGAATATCGGACAATCTCACCAACAGCGGCCAATGCAACATCCTCTCGATCTCATGCTGTCCTCCAGATCAATCTTGCGCAAAAGGATCGAAATGCATCAGTGAACGAACCACATACCATGGCAACTTTAAGCATAATTGATCTGGCGGGTAGTGAACGTGCGAGCGCAACGAAGAATCGAGGTGATAGATTAATCGAAGGTGCAAATATCAATAAGTCTCTTCTTGCTCTGGGTAGTTGCATCAATGCCCTTTGCGATCCCCGGAAGAAGAACCATGTCCCATATCGAAACTCGAAATTGACGAGATTATTAAAGTTCTCCCTCGGTGGAAATTGCAAGACTGTCATGATTGTATGTGTCAGTCCTTCGAGTGCTCATTTCGACGAAACCCAAAATACGTTGAGATATGCAAACCGAGCGAAGAATATTCAAACCAAGGTTACGAGGAACGTTTTCAATGTCAACCGACACGTCAAAGACTTCTTGGTCAAGATTGATGAGCAAATGGCTATGATCAATGAGCTTAAAGCTCAGCAGAAAGATGCAGAGGGTCTTGCATTCGTAAAGTTTAAAAAACAGGCGGAAAAGAGAGATATCATTACACGCGACGGCGTGGCACGTATTCGAGCAGCATTTGATAACTCAGTGACCGAACGACAAGAAAAGGTTAATCAAATGAAGAAACTTCGACAAATCGAGCGTCGCATCAGCATTTTATCCTCCTGGGTTGCAGCATTTGATACCATTTGCGATTCGCGAAATGATGAAGAAATGCCTGCTAATCTGACTTCTATGCGCAAGACTGCTCAAGGTATTCTACTCGAATTGGAGAATAGTCGTCAACATTACCATCAAAGATTGCACAAAATGAATTGGGAGCGCGCGATCGATTCCGCATTGCAAAATAGTGTTCGTCAACTGGTTGAAATTAATGGATGCGAGGAAGGCAGCGATATTGCTTGCTTGTCTCGAGAGACGGAACTTTTGAAGGCTAATGCTGCACGAGATGCATTCCAACATGTCTTGGACCAAGAAAAAGGTGTTGATGCGGGTGTTATGCAAGTGCTGCTCTCTGCCCAATTCGAGATCATGTCTTCGCTTAATGACATTCTTGGTATGACTGAAGAGGATGCAGTACAACATGGCAAAAAGACGATTTCAAAACTTTTAGAGACATGTTCGACAGCGGCTGCTTCAATCGTGAAGCCCGATGGATCCATAAAGATTATGGAAAAGTTCGCGCCCACCAAGCGAGGTACCCCCAAACGCAAAAAGCAAATCAATCTCTCCTTTGAAGAAGAGTTGCAGTCACCAATAAAAATGCCATCCCTCACATTGGCCCCACAGATTCCTTCTCCGATGAAATCCTCACCGAGGCGTCGCAAGATTGTAGTAGGTAAGAAAGGACTTTCTTTCACACCGAAGAAGACCTCCAAGCGAAGTGTCAGATGGCGAGATGATGACGATGCCGGAGCGTTGGCCGAATTCGAGAAAACACCTCAGAAGTTTGATTCCACTCCGGATGTGTCCTTCGTTGAAGACAGCTTAGCCCCACCACCCTTAACATTATACCTAGGCGAGGTTCACACCGACCCCCTTGGCTCATCACCTATTCCAACGGCCCCACTAACATCCATTGATATCAAGCCCAAGAACAATCGATTCCAAGCAGGATTCCTGTCCAAAAAGCCCCACTCGGGCTCACCTCCGCCACCAACAGTTTCCAATCTCTCCCCAATGTCTTCGGATACAGAACATTCCCCACTGAGGACCCTGAAGAACGGTACTTCTCCAAATAGATCATCACTTCGCGAAACCGATGAAGTTGCCGGGACAGGAAACTCGGGATCCGAAGGAGAAAATTGGAAAGTAGAAAAGTCAGACGGTGTTAAGATTGGTCAAGCTCTTAAGAGAAATAGTAGTCTATCGAGAACCGGCCATGCCCATACATCATCAGATGGTAACCCAAGATCGAGAAGAGCGAGAAGTCCAACGGCGGCTCAGTTGGCCACAAGTCCAACAAGCGAAAACCAGATGTTTACAGCTAGTCATGCGAGACGAATGGTGAAGAGTGATAAAGAGTCAACGATAAGTAGTGTACTGAGCCCAAGGACAGCACCGATTTTAAAACACGGTCATAGTAGACGTACAACGGCCGATGCGGGTAGATCTGGAAGCGGTAGTCATGGACATGGACATGGTCATGGTCATGGTCATGGTCATGTAGGGGGTGGAGCTAGTGGATCCTTTAGAGATACGGCGGTTAATGGAGGGAATGGAGGAAGTGTAGGAAGTGGAGGAAGTGTAGGGAGTGGAAAGGAACCCAAGCCGAGGGAAAGTGTAATAAATGTTATGGGAAAGGGGGGGTGGAGATAAGAAATATGAGATAAGCGACTTTCATGAGCGGTAGATACGATATGATAGATATGATATGATATGATATGATATGATATGATACCATTGTGCTGTGCTGTGCAGTGGGTATTTGAATTGGAATTTGGAATTGGAATTGGAATTGGAATTGGAATTGGAATTGGAATTTGGAACTTGATGGTGATGGTGATTTTTCAGGTTCATGTTGTGATGTTTTTTTTCATGGTATGCGGTGCGGCATTTGAATTTAATGAGATGAGATGAGATGAGATGAAATGAGATAAGACAAAAGACGTTTGTTGGTTGGATGGATTCTTTATACTGTTCTAGTAGAGAGAGAGAGAGAGAGAGAGAGAGAGAGAGAGTCTAGAGTACAGTAGTGAACTTTTTTTTTTTATCTTTTTTCTTTTATTTTTCAGTTTGTTTGTCTGATTTGGTCTGGTTGGTGTTGAGTGGAATTAAAGTGGGATTAAGGTGGAAGTGGAGAGGGGATGTGGAGGGGGGGTGTGGATGGGGTTTTTGGGATTGAGGTGGGAGTGGTGTTGAGGGGAGTTGAGGTGGATGGGGTTGGGGTTGAGGTGGAAGTGGGGGTTGAGTGGTGGAATTGAGGTTGGGGTGGAAGTGGATGGGGTTTTTGGGATTGAGTGGTGTTTGGTGGATGTGGTGGGAGGTGGAGGGGGGTGGAGGGGGGTGGATGGGGTTTTTGGGATTGGGGTGGGATTAAGGTGGTTGATGATGATTGTTGATACGGATGTGGAAGTGGATATGGATGTGAAGATTATATTGAATTGAATAGTAGTAGTAGGTAGTACCGTCTAAACTCAGCACTCAGCTAACTGAGAACAAATCCAGCCACAGTTGGCCTAGCTATCGAATCCTTATACTGAAAAACCAATGAGATTATATAATTGAAAGAATCAGCAAAGTGGATTAGTTGATAATTCTATAAATGATAAAAATTAGGCCTTATCTAGCTTGGTGTGATCGATAGCTAGGCCAACTGCGGCTGGACTCGTTCTCAGTTATTAGTTGCTGAGTTTAGATAGTAGTAGTACAGTTTAGTCTTAGACTATCTAAGCAACAGGGCCCTGCGGGGCGGGTTATTGATCTAATAAATAACCTATAGATTACCTGCCAGCGGGACAGATTACTGGAAATCTGAATAAATTAGTGCCTATAGATTATTTATAATATTTATAACCTATTTAATTTATAGATTATGTCATGGGTTCACCACACGTGACTATCTATATCTATCTACACCTATCTGTATCTATTTGCATCTACCTGTACCTGTTATATACACATTACTCATTCTTAATTAGATCGAATAAATACCTTAGATATTTATTTATTATATAATCAGCATTGCTCTCTGCACCTTTTTCTCTCTTTATTAAATATTAAATATTTTATTTAATTCCTATTAATATCTATATTAATCCTGTGATAATATATTCAACTATTTAAAAGGCCCTGCCATTGATAATAACCCAGCTTTGATTATATTTACTTATATACAATGATTTTAATTTGATAATTTTGATTCCAACTTCGATTTGTATTATTTGTGACGGAACAGACGGCTCTCTTCCGCCCACTGGCTCATACTACATACATAGTATGATATAACGGCTCTTTTGGACCTTCCTTTCACAGCTTAGAGCCCTAGCTCTATAGCTCTAGACCTAGGCATCTTACGCCTAGGTCTCTTTCACCCTTTTGGGCCTAGCCCTTGTGGCTCCCAATACCTGTATATATAGTCCTCCTTTTAGCATCCTACATAGCTCTTCACTTGTAGATTCTAAGTACACAATCGGAGTCCTGTTTATACCCTTTTGGTCACATTATTATATAATAACCAATTTCACAAATTCATTGATTATACCCAATAATACCAATCTTAGCATATCTACTACTAATACTAATATATCTGCTTCTGAAATTACGATATATAAATGTTTAACCGCATATATTTATCAAATATTTCAAAAATAATTTTATATTACTGATATACTCATTTTTGGTAATCCTTTTCAAAATCCAATTCTATTGATTAATCTATTTAATATAGAAGATATCAACTCCGCTGCTTAGTTCTTTCTTCAAAACCTGTTTATTTCATTTGAAACTATTGTTGAAGAATATTATATTAAATATATAATCTGATGGATTATTGAAGAATAATTCAATATTAAATATATAGTCTAATTAGTTATCGAAGAATAATTCAATTGTGTTTATAATGACCTTCTTATTCAATAATACTAATTTTAAGAAATATATGATTCTA